TTTTTTATCCTCTTCCCAGGGGGCAATTGATGTTGAAAAGATATCAAATTGACATCAAAAAAATTGGCATGATGTTGATTTTATGTAAATTGAACGTCAAGCATATTGGCCTACATATACATAAAACCAATTTCAGTGTGGCATTAACTTCCTATTTTCACCCAATTACCACTGGAAGAAATTGCTGTCCAAACTGAATTTAAAATGATGGTACAGCATCTTGATCAAGTCTTGACTAATACTTGACATAAAATTGATATCAAGGTGCCTGCTGGGTTTGTTTTTATTTGTATGGTTTATTTAAGACACTGAGATAAATCTGCACACTTTCAGCTCTGCAGCTGAGCTCTTGCAAATCATTTAAAACTGACAGATGTTTCAAAGTGAATACCAGTGGAAACCAAAACATCCATATTCCATTTCTTTCATAATTTGCTTCAGCTTCTCTTTTTGCTCCATTCCACACGCCATTCATTCCAGTCCAGTAGTGTCCAGTCTGTTTGCCACTTTGCTTGATCTAGTTCTGACAAAGATAAACAAAAGAAAAATGATTTTTTTTGTTGTTGTCTCTCGATGGAAAATTTTATTACAACATGTATTATATTTACCTTTTAGGAATGTCTGGAAAATTTGATTGATCATCTTATGACTCTGTGATACTAACTCCCATGGGTCTGGAAAATAAAACAGTGTCAGAGACCTAAAGGTGGCACCATATTTAATTTTTGACAGAAATGAAAACGAGGCTGTGAGGGACAGGAGTACAGTGCATTTGATGGATTGTGCTGTTGTTTAACAACATACCGAATGTTCAGGAGATGAAATGTCTACCAGAAAAAAAAATCAGTAGACAAAAACAAAGTTGTGAAAATATGTGACTGAAGACCTTTATACAGTGTGAACCACTGAAAAGAAACTGTAAGCCTATCCCTCACAGCCTTGCTTTCATCTTTGTTCATTTTAATATGGTGTCTAACCTGACTTAAGGTCTAAAGAAAAGAGGCTACCATCCCTTGATCAGCAAGTGTAACCAGTACTATGCATCTAAAGTTAAATATGAAATGAAGGTCTTTCTTTTATCACAATTGAACAAGTGCTTACCCTTAGTGTTTGAGAACTGCTTGAGTGCATCACCCAGAGAGGAATCATCGTGCAGCACAGCACGAAGACACAAGGCCTGACATGCTGCCATGATTTCATCATGCACAGAAGCATCGCTTCCCAGACAAACACAGACGGTACCTGGGAAAAAATGCATCTCATAAATGTGTCATTGCTGTTCTAGCTGAGTAATAGTTAGGCATAAATTCTCTAATATCGTTTTAGATCATGTTATTATGTCTAACATCTGTTTATATAGCAGAATTGGGGAGGTTTTTGTACCATTTTTGATTGCAATGAGATATGGTTTGCTGTTCTTCAATGCCAGCTGCAGTTCTCCTGGCCTTTAAGTCAAAAAGAAATCATTTTAATAGTCGATACAGTTTTCACATCACAACAACAATACGTTTTGATTTAGTGAATGAATATAAAAGCAGATAAACAGACTCTTGAACAATGTCTCCAAGCCTCACACCCAACTTTATGGGAACTGTCCTTCCAAGCGCTGAAAAGAGGAATAGAATTTTGTTAATTAGATGTGTAATGAATGAATCAGATTAAATGAACAAGACAGGCATTTAAAAGTGATCAGGTTTTAAGGCCATACACAAGAACACAGGCTCCTTCTCATTGGCCTCCACTGGACTGAGCAGTTGACCATCAAGCAGGTACCGATGAAGGACTATGGACAAGCGAGCCTCATTAAGTGTTTCCATAACAACAGAACGAACAGCTTTGTAATTGGCAAACAGGTGGAGAACAGTGAACAGGAAGAACAGGATGAACGTCAACCTGAATGAAGAGCACAAATCAGTACAGTATCTACTACACATTCATGTAGAGCGTTGCTTACATATCTGGGTGTAACTCACAATGGGTTATCGGTTACAAGCGGGATGAGTGCAAGGCTGACCAGCAGTCCTGCCAGGTTCACCAGGGTTTCCTTGTCAGGACAAAAAAGCAGAGAAATGATACACTGATACATGAAACCACTGACACGCATTTTGACCTCAACTTCACACACTAAGAGGGAATTTACAAGAAAAGCTATTATGAAGCATATGAGAGAAAGTGAACAAAAACCTGGCTCCCATCTTTGGCGGAGATATCAGCCATGTTGTTTCTACGAGCTTGATGGACAGTTAAGGCAGCTCTTGTTGCTCCACCAGCAACTCCTACAATGGACTGGAACGACAGAAATAGAGGAATATGCATAGATATTTACTGTCAAGCTGATTTAAGGTTTAGAGGAAGATGCTGGTGATATTTTACCTTAAATATTCCAGCAATGCAGACAATAAGAGTGAAAAAAGGAGGGAAATGAGGGGCTGCAATCTCCATGAACATTGCCACGTCATTAAGAATGTCAGCGAAGAGCCTGAAAAGACAAATAAGACATTATTATGTAAAATATTTATGAAAAGTATTACATTCAAATATTTATTCAAACTAAAACATTAAAGTCTATGATCTAAGTCTAGTATACGGTACCTCCATTTTTTGGCTTCAGAATCTAACTTGCTCCTGAAATACAAGGTCACAATTAAGTACAACATAAACAAAAGATCTTCACAATCTGAATGGTGGGTCAAATATTACCCTTTGAGCCAAGCAAAAAGTATTCTTCCCAGCATCCCTGTTCCATCTGAGCAAAGAAGGAGAAAAAGGTTAGAAAAGCATGCATTTAAAAAATAAGAAACCAGTGCAATCAGTAATTTGTGCACATACCCCTTAGCAGCCATGTTATTGTAGCTGCTGCAACTGTTGCTTCTTGATTTCCAACCCCAACACCCCTCAGTGAAGCCTGAGTAGCGAGTGTGCCAGACAGAGAGCTGGAAAATGCCTTGGAAAACAAAACAATTAGATGTTTTTTTATAAAGAAATTAGTACTTTGAAAGATAGATTAAATTGATCAAAAGTAACAGTAAATACATTTCTATTTCAAATAAATGTTGTTCTTTTGAACTTTCTATTCGTCAAAGTACCCTGAAAAAAAATATCAAGCAGCACAACTGTTTCAAAACGGATAATAATAATAAATGTTTCTTAAATCTAAATCGGCATATTAGAATGATTTGAAAATATATTTAAATAGAAAACACTTAAATGTATTTTTTTGCATTTCTTCTGCCAATATTATAGGTTAATTTTTTATAAGTTTGCCCAAATTTTTTAATCTTTATGTTTGGCTACTGAATTTTCCCCCGAAAAACTAAATAAAATAAACTTCAGCACTACACTACACGAGTGTCAGATCTACAGGACATGTACCTGCACAGTGTCCCAGAGCTGATACTGCAAGTAATCCTCACTGACACTCTCAGGATAGCCCTGAGGCAGGAAAACACTCTGGGAGAGGAGAGAGCATGTTAGTGATGTCTCAGAGTTTATTTATAGGATCTGAGAGACTTTCATGTTTTTCTGTGTGTCACGCACTTTAAACACGCCAGAGATGGAATTTCCCGCCAGTCTGCCATCCAGTGCATCCTTCTGTCTCTTCATCCTCCCATCCTTCAACAGGTATTTCCATGACTCCTGTGAGCCATAACGCTCTGTGGCAATCACCCCTTCACAGTCCTCCGTCTCTGCCATCTGCACATCAGTTAACACGTGTGCATTAAAAACAAACGAGCGAAGTAAAAAAAAAAAAATCAATACCTTCAGGTCTTTGAATTTTCACTCTCAACTGTAACAGCAGTCTCACACTTTGCACCTTATGAACATTATTTCATAAATTATATATTTGAATGCAAAAATGTTTTCTATATGATGTCACGCTATGCAGATTAGCATGCTAAGGACTAAAATGACTATAACGTAACCGAGTTTCTGATTGCGTTTCAGTAGATTTTATTGTAATCGCCCACCTCGCCCACGTATCTTTTCTTCCGTGTTTAGACTGTATCGCTACGTCATGAGCATGTCACGACTTCTGATTGGCTCATGGAATTTTACGTAGGCAGTTTTCTTCCGGTAAAAAATGGGCGCGACCATTTGTAAATTCTATGGGTCTGGCTTCCGGTCTCATCCGCGTCCAGCTATTTTTAGCTTTACAGAACTGCTCGTTTTGCTGCTTGATATTGAAAATTGGTGTGTCTTATCATATTATTTGAATGTGTTGTCTTAATTACGAACACACTGGTTTATACTGCAAGCAGTTTTACGGTTTACTGCACGCTGTTATTCTCGTTAGCGGCTAATGAACCGGAAGTCTTGCCCATAGGCTTACTTCCGCGTTGTAGAAAACGGTGGATAAATAAAAAAGCAAAAAGGATGTATAGAATTTTTGAATCCTTTTCTTATGGAAATTTCTTGTAAGTTATCACCTTTATTTGACCCTCTAACTCTTAACACTTTCTATTCTATTTTAATTCTACTTTATCTATATCTTATTTTTTTATTTTATTTTTTTATTTAAAAAAACACACTAGCTTTCTATTTTTTCTATTCTATCTACTTGTTTTTCTGTGTGTGTGTGTGTGTGTGTGTGTGTATAATATACATACACACACCTTGCTACATGTACTGTGTTAGGCTAACCGAGACTTGTCATTTGCACTTATATATTGTTGCTCTTTTGTTAGTTTTGACTGCTTTTATTGTCCTCGTTTGTAAGTCGCTTTGGATAAAAGCGTCTGCTAAATGTAAATGTAAATGTAAGTTATCCCTTGTAGTTTTTTTCTCCTTTCTTTTTTTCTGTTTGTTCCTTTGATGCTATTATGAATGTAATTTAATTTAGAATAGTTGAAAACACTGTCATCCTCTATATATGTATGTTATGTTACTGTTCTTGTTAGTTGTTATGCAATTAAAAAAAATAATAATAATAAAGTGAGAAGATTCTCTGCGTATGACTGTCTATAAAGGCTGTAGTAGTTTTGTTCTCTTAATTTCCTCATTTGCATGGTTGTCATACACAATGATTTATTTAATTTTGTTTGTGAATATTACATTTTGTTTAATTTTGTTTGTAAACAAATATATTGTTCTTTATAAATTCATGCAGCTGCAATTTTTCTTCTTTCTTTCTTCTAATTAAATTAACAAGGAAAACAAGTGGGAGAGATTTAATCAGTGTTTGTTTTTTAAGCTGTCTGGCCCCTCCTGACCTCAGTGTCTGTCTTGCTGTTAATGTGTCAGCTCAACCCGGAATAGTTGTCCTTCACAAGCCAGTGTTAGTGTGCGTGTGTGTGTGTGTGTCTGATGGAGACAATTACAGAACAACAGGTCAAAGCAAAACTGACATACAATTACACTGAAATATATTGAAGCATCAGAGTCCATTATGTTTTTGTTTTTTTTCATTCTTGGGATAAGTGGCAATCATTCTAGCAGAAGGTGATGTGCTATGAGGTATGTCAAAAAATTGCCACAGCACAAATTTTACTATTTACTACAGCTGCTTTTATTAGCTAAATAAAAGCTAGCTTTATAAGCTAAAACAACAACAAAAATGTTATTTTATTACATCATATAGATGTGAAATGGTCTAATTATAAAAAGGTTATTTTTCAAGACTTGAAAAAGTCATGTAAAATTAATAAAATCTTACAATTCCATGGACATTTTATACATTTTTGAATATTTAGAGCTGAGCCCAGCTCTAAATAATTTTATCAGGTACAATTAGCATGTTTTTAAATTCTCATCAAGTAAATCACAAACAACTGGGCCATTGAATATTGCTGGGGACAATGGGGAAACTTGTCAGTAAGGATGAGAACCACTGATGTAAATAAATCTTTTAATTCTAGAGAAAAAAAACATACAAGTGAGGTGAGTTTCTACATATTTGGACACATGGAGTTAATATTTTTTTTATTTCATATTGATATTTCATATTTGGAGTTGATGTATCAAGTGATACCTGCACATGGCCTTGAACATGGCAGCTGAAAAATCTAACTCTCATATCCTGTCTACTATTTAAGTTTTTTCAAAAGGAATAAAATCAGAAACAGTAGTTAACCTGTTAAAGAATATTCATGAAACATGAGAGTCTGTAAATCATGCAGCTGTCCAACACTTATGTACAATTAAGAGATTTAAAGGGGTCATATGATGTTGCTTAAAAGAACATTATTTTGTGTAATGAAATTAATGCGGTTTAAGGTTACAAAAACATTATTTTCCACATACTGTACATTATTGTTTCTCCTCTATGCCCCGCCTTTCTGAAACGCGTCGATTTTTACAAAGCTCATCGTTCTGAAAAGCGAGGTGTGCTCTGATTGGCCAGCTATCCAGTGCGTTGTGATTGCCCGAATACCTCAAGCGTGTGACGGAAATGTTACGTCCCTTACCATATTGTGATGCTGTGTCCCGGCTGGAGCGATGAGACGGATTATATTATAATTACGGATTATAATGATTTATACTGTCTTTTTACGCGCTGCGTTGCATCGCGCCGCGTAACCTTTATCACATGCAATCTCTGTTTACAAACACAAGCCCTGCAGGGGCCTCAGCTTACTTGCCAGGAACTTGATTCTTGTGAGGTTGTGATTGCGTAAATAGAAAGAGAAAGAAACAGTAATGGAGAAAATTAGTAATAGTAGACAGTGTGTCATGAAGTCAAAGCTTCTGTGTAACAGTCTGCACATACTCATGATTCACAGGGGCAACAAGGTGTGGTAAATAGACAGATAAACGTAAGACCTAAAGAACGTGAGTGGAAGAAGTACTTCAAGCTGGAGTGGATAAGAAAAGCGGGAGGGAACATTGAAAAAAAGAGGTGTGGTGTTTCATTGTCACTGTTGTAAGTAAGTAGTTCAAAGCATTTCTTTCACACTCTGCCTCCTCAGAGGTCGAAACTGGAGCTAAAGAAGTTGTACTAAATATTTCACATACATAATTGACAATTAGAGGAAGTTTGGATGGGAAGTCATCTCGAGTCAAGTTGTGACAATGACATGTGACATCTTTGTGAAAGGACACTAGAACTTCTGTCACTACATAAACTGAAAGAGTTATTAGCAGAGTACTGATCACTAGCCAATGTTTTTTTTCCAAGCAAAAACATCAAATGTATTTGGTTATTAATTGGTCATTTCTGGTTGACCTAAGGAATTTGTGACCATTCTTCCCTCAAGATCAAATCTGGGCAAGTCTGTAAGTACTGAGATCTTTAGTTTCAATAACTGAGTTTCAGCCGGCATGTTTTTTGATTTGCTGATTTGATTATCATCTTTCTGGAGGCAGACTTTACATGGCTGAGATTTCGATTTATGATGAGTCTAACCAAAACTATCAAGTGAGATCTGTCATTACTCTCTTGTAATACGGATGCCAGTTACTGTCAACATGACTCTGTCTCTGTCCATACCTGTTTTTCAAGCCCCAGCACAATAAGAGATAATAGAAACTCACTTCACCTTAAATACTTTGAGGATGTTGGAAAACCCCTTTTATATTGTTCCAATATACATATATTCTTGCACTTTTGGTGTGTATATAAGCCTATATATATTATTATTTTTAATTACCCCTATTACTATTAAAACTGAAAGCAAAAAATCACTGTAAAGAACCAGTTAAACCAGCTTGTTATAAATCACCGCTTGGCTCACTAATTCACTGGTAGATGTTTACAACTTGATTCAGACAGAACTTGAACTACACTGTATCCATTGTAGTATAAAGTAGACTACAAAATCATCAAAATACAGTAATGCGCCATTACTTCCATGCTGACTCCCCTATATTTACACTGTTATTTGTTACTTTGAACAGAGATGTGTGCGAACGAACTACAAGAAGTGAAAGTTGATAATGCTTTACTTGAACAGCCTGAGCCGAGGGCTGACTCGCGCAGTGTCGCCTGTCAGGACATCTGTAAGGTCAAAGACCATCGCAAATTAGCCATTTGCAGCATCATATGTGGCCTCTCCTGTCTTGGAATTATGTCCATTATGTACTCCGTCAAGGTAACTATGATTATTATTTCAGTATTATTGAAATATCAGTGCTGTACAATTGTATTACTGCACTACTATTGTAATAAGTACTAAGCTCTATGTAAAATTAAACTTATTTTTAAACTTAAATAGGAATTATTTACATTTAGTAACCCACCCATGCAATCAAAGATCTGAGTGCAGACAAACTCAAGATGTGAAATGAAAATAAAACACTTCAATTGGCTTCCTTAAGCTTATTTTCATGAGAACCTTATTTATTAACAGTTTTTGTTTGTTCTTATCTTATATACTTATCCTACATAACTTCAAAAGACTCTCAGCTAAGGTCTGTTGCCAGTAAAATAGATACTGTTGGCAAAGACGAGACACAATTAAACAAAATAGTACCATGAAACTTAACTGTAGTCAGTGATGAAAGAAACGTATCATGCACTAATATAATCTAAGAATCTACAAAGTTTAAATCTGACACCTTTCCTCATTTTTTCAGGCCCGAGAGACAAGAAAAAGACTTCAAAACGAAGATTGTCCAGAAACACGAGAGATGATTAAGAAATACTCAGTAAAGGCGTGTAAATGGGGTATTGGGTCCATTGTAGCCTGGGTGGTTTTAATTCTCATCTTTCCATTGCTGGTGGGATTTCTGTCCTATGTTGTAACCTTCATAGACTGACACTGAAGAAGCTTTTCTACAGTTAAATGAGCATCCAAAGCAAATGAACTGTAAGAGTGCAGAAACAGACTCTTTCATTGCTCACACTGGACACTGCATCTAGACTAAACTATCCAAAAAAGTTACTTGATGGCAATAGGTTGGTCAATAATGGTCATTATTTAAATTCACTGTGGGTTTCGAAAGGTGCTTGTCCTTAGTCTAGATCAAAGGTTCACAACTTCCTACCCATAATATAAGAGGATTCAACAGCTCAACATTTGCATTAAAATTAAATCACTGCAATTAAGCCAATGCAGGTAGTTCAAAATGGTACAGCAACTTTCAGGAATTTGTTACATGCATGAGATGGAGCCATGCATAAAACCATCCGTCCAGACAGAAGTTACTGCTACACTTCAGCAAGCTGGTTTTATTTATGCTCTTACTGCAAACTGGAAATGAAACATTGAGACACTCACAGAGAGCATAACATTCAAATGTTGAGATATGGATGTGGTTACATTTTTAACGTTCTGTTTTTGTAAATAAGTCATACTGTTTCAATACTTTGTGCTTTTGATGTTTTGTACACTGCATGTATTTCAGGCTTTGTCATAAAATGTGTAGCAGTCAAAATGCATCTGCTCATTGTAAACGTCTTACAAACAACTCGACAAAACACTAAAATACAAAACAGTTCAATCGTATTCTATTATAAATACAGAACGCAGACATCTATCAAACAAGTTTACACTAATCATTCAACATGTTCAAACACCACAAACAGTATTATAAATCACTACATCAAAGATAAACAAAAGACTAAATTAAGTGAATGGACTATATTTAGAGTGCCTGAGTAAAAGCACAGAATGCATTAAACTTTTAAATCCTTTATGACTTATGGTTATAAAAAGACAAAACAGAGTTGTTTCTTGTTACATCAGTCCAATCTACAAATAAACGCCATTACCTTGCAAAATATAAAAAGAAAGTGATGTATTTTTAAGATCTTTACAGTACATAAGTAATGAAAAACATTTTACAGCTCTGTAAGTCTATTTATTGTTGATTTTACAAATTTACAGTAAATTTGAACATAATACACACAAAGCCCATTGTTTGGTACAGAACAATCAAGACCTCTGCCTCAGCCCGCAACCTGCTGCAGTGTCATCCAGATGTCCAACTCCTCAAGCTTGGAGCAAAGGAGGGACTCCAGCTGCTGCAAGGTGAGGCCATCCTCCACTCTGGAAGAGACCCCGACACCTCGTCTGGTTCTACAGAACCCAGCGTTCCTCTGGGCTCCAGCCCCCGCCATTATACCGACCAGAGGTTTCTTGGGCTTCCTGGCAACACCCAGTTCAGGGAATTCGACAAAGCGCTTCACCTTTTTTTGGCCCACGACAGCCTGAGAGCCATCATGCCGGTTAAGAGGCACCTCAAATATGGTTTCCAAACGTCTGAAAAGAATTTGTAAAAGTTGCTTAATTGATCAGAGTTCAAAAGAGAAAGAATAAAACACCCCGCTGAAATCTCAAAACCTAACTGCATGCGATAGTTCACATAAATCTGAAAATTCTGTCATCATTTACTCACCTTCATGTTGTTCCAAACCCATAAGACTTGAAAGACAGATGAAGATATTTTTAATGAGACCTGAGAGATTTCTGCCCCTCAATTGAAAGTCCAGGCAACAAAAACTTAGAAGATCCAAAAAGGTCATAAAGGTGTCATAAAATGAATCCATATGAATTGTGCCGTTTAATCCAAGTCTTGTAAAGAGATGCGAACTCGATATGATGAACAGGTTTATTTTAGGATTTATTCACATATAAACACACATACATAGAGCACATCACACATCATATGGTAAACACAGAAACACACTGCAAAAAATGCTTTTCTAGCTTAGATCTTTTGTCTTGTTTCCAGCCAAAATATCTACAAATTCTTAAATCAAGAAGGATTTTCTAGACAAGTAAAAATGATTGTCTTGTTTTCAGAAAAAACAAGTCGAATTTAAGTAAGTTTTTGCTTGAAACAAGCAAAATAATCTGCCAATGGGGTAAACAAAATAATCTTATTTCAAACAGAAAACAAGATTATTTTTACTTGTCTAGAAAATCCTTCTTGATCTAAGAATTTTTAGATATTTTGGCTGGAAACAAGACAAAAAATCTAAGCTAGAAAAGCATTTTTTGCAGTGCACAATTTGTGCGTTACATGCAAGAACAAATGTCATTGGTTCTCGTGTGTCTTGCACCCTTGTTTACCATATGTGATATGCTCTATGTATGCGTATTGATCACTGTTTAGATTGAAAGCCTAAATTAATTCTGTTCACCATATAGAGCGATCATATCTCTTCACAAGACTTAAGAGTAAGCCGTTTGATTCATATAGTTTTTTCCATTTGAATGGAGGGACAGAAACCTCTCAAGTTCAAAAATTATATATACAGTGGGTACGGAAAGTATTCAGACCCCCTTCAATTTTTCACTCTTTGTTATATTGCAGGTGTAGAACCATCTCAAGGATGATCAGAAGAAATGGACAGCACCTGAGTTAAATATATGAGTGTCACAGCAAAGGGTCTGAATACTTAGGACCATGTGATATTTCAGTTTTTCTTTTTTAATAAATCTGCAAAAATGTCAACAATTCTGTGTTTTTCTGTCAATATGGGGTGCTGTGTGTACATTAATGAGGAAAAAAAATTAACTTAAATTATTTTAGCAAATGGCTGCAATATAACAAAGAGTGAAAAATTGAAGGGGGTCTGAATACTTTCCGTACCCACTGTATATACATAATACATATTAAGTCACTGGTGATATGCGTATCAAACTGTGATATATAGTATGAAATAAAACTATGGAATAATTAGTATAGTTAAATAGAAGATTAAACTAATGCATTACCCTACATTTTTACTTCGGCAGTATAAGAACACACTGATAGCTTTAAAGCTGCACTAAAAAGGCATTACAATGGGCTATTGGGATATTCTGTCTGACCCCAATGTCTGTGAGTACTAGAAATCCTGAAGGTGAGGTACAATAGTGACAAATAAAGAAATGATAATAAAATCAATAAATGCAACCAGTCTGAAAAGAGTGCCAAGCACTTCATTTTTATCTTCCATCTTCTGTCAGTTTGATTACTAAATATATAGAGAACCAATAATAGGGTATATGTTGAACATCACCTGACCAAACCCGGAAAACAGGTCTCATCGCTTCCGCTTGTCGGAGAACATGATAACAGCCATATTAAATAATAGCGATATCTATGGACTTTTAAGATAATCAGTTAAACTACCTAGCTATTTTTATATCTAAATATTAGTGAAAAGAATAAAATTTAAAAAACTTTTAGATATCAGTCCGCATATTTAAAATTAAACTTCTCCCGGTTCTCTCTAAAGTGCTGGAGAAGGTTGTATCAGAACAATTTTTGCAGCACTTAGAGACTAATAATCTTTTACACCCTTTACAATTTGGTTTTAGACATAACCATTCTACAGAAACTGCTACGTTTATTATTAGAAAATATTAAGCAGTCACTCGATAAAGGATTTAAAGTTGGTGCAGTATTCCTGGATCTGAAAAAGGCATTTGATACGATAAATGGGTAACTCTATTATCCAGAAAATAACTCATTTGGAAAATGTCTCACCCATCAGGAGGTTTGCTGAAGTTTTTGTTTGTGTAGATTTCCTCCAAGCTGAAATCCTTCTTCTTTATTCTGTGCAACACAAAGCAAGAAATGTATCTTTGCTGTGATGAAGTACAGACACAGATAGATATGACCAAGCCTATAACCTTCTCTATGCATACACACCTGATGACCTTAGGAAGGCCCATAGGGGTGAGATTATTCTGAGGCTTTGGAATCTTTTTACGGATACGAATTGAGGACACCTTTCCACGCTGACCATCCTTGATATCTGTCTGTTTACACAGAGAGCGAAGATGCAATTAGGATTAAGAAAAATTATACATTTTAGACCACAAATCAAATCTAAGAGAAAACTCACACCTTGATTTCAGAGTCTGATAATGCTTTCTCCTCTGAGATGGCAGCAGAGAGTTTAAGGTCAAAGTTGGATCTCTCTTCATCTATTGACTCCTCACACTCCATTTGAAGCACTTGATTGTCTCCTTCCAAAGAACTTTGTGAAAACGCACTTGAAGGAAGAAAAAGTAGGATTTTAACTGCTGACTTGCATCTTTTTGACATCTTCTTATGGAAAAATATCTGAGATAATCAACATGCTAGATTATTCAATAACAGGTAATAAAAAGCAAGTATTCTCAGATAGGGAGGCTGGGAATTTGATAAATTACCTGCAGAGTGATGACACAGAGGCAGAAGGTGTCTCAGGGCTGGGAGTGACAGAGGAGGGCCCGGTTAAAGCATGACAGGACGTGAGGGTGGAAGAAAAGGGGGGACTGAAGGAGGATGGTGATGATGATGCGATAAAACTGGAGGCAGCTGAAACACTGCCAGAGCTGGTGGCACTAGCATGACTACGCCCTTGGCTTGAGCTTTTAGACAAGAACGCTAAAGGACTGGACAAAAAACACGAGGCAAGGGCTATGAGGGAGGAGGAGGGAGAATAAGGGGAAGAGGGGCAAAAAGGGCCACCCCGACTGGCAGGGTACACCTCCTTACGGAGACACAAAGGGGCAATTTCACGCTCAATCTCCACACTGCAGACAGTGTGCCGGCGAGTGCGCTTGGACGGAGAGTGAAGGTGGATGGGCAGTGGTGTGGGCGAGCTCTTTCTGCTGGGTGAGGTAGTGCTGATGTCATGCGTGTGGGTCCGGGGTAAATGACAGTCACTGAATACTAGGGACGGGATTTCAGGGCAGGAGTAGCTGCGCAGGAGACGGTTGGGACCGCTACCTGACAATGATAGTACTGGAACAGCTTCCGTTGTCTTTTCTTGGCTCCCCGCTTCATTGTTACCCCCAACAGCACCTATCCTTTTTTCAACGGAAACATCTTTTCTTCTTGGTCGGATTACATTCTTTGTGGGTCTGTTTAGTTTTCTTTCTGATTGCACCGGAGCTGTTGAACCAGGTGACAAAATCTCCTGTATTTCTTTTTCTGCTTTCAGCCCAGAAATCCATGTCTCCTGCTTCTCGGCTGCAATAACAGACTGTTCACTGTGCAGTAGTGTTCTTTTTGAAGGTTTACTTGGCCCTGCTGGATCAACCACTGAAGTCACGCTGTAGTCCTCAAACTTGTGCTTGGGCAAACGAATGCTTCTCCTATGCAACGCAACACCTGTACTTTTAAAATGGCGTCTTGTTTTTCGAGTTTCAATGGTCTTCTCAGGCTCTTGTGGCTGCAGAGGCTGCCGAAACAATGGAGGTTCTGATGGACCATTCATGGTATCGTCAATCAGGACATTCTGTGTGCCATTCTGAGAGGCTGTAGTTTCAGTGGCATCATTTTCATTGCTAGAGGTCAGTAACGTCCTACATTTTACATTTTTTCTCATCATCTTGTCCTGTCTCATTTGATCTGAGGTTTCAACAGAATTTCTCATTTCACCAGCTGCAGCATTACTAGTACCAACAGGCACATTTGAGTCTTGGAGTGGTTGCATTGTAGAAAACTCTTTCCTCTTTCTCCTAACCTGAACAAATGTTTCTTCCTCCTGGTTTATTTCCAGAGTGATGCCATTTTTTTTTACTTTTTTATTCCTCGCAGGTCTTCTCTCTTTAGCATTCTGCAAATCACATTTCCCCCTTGCCTCTAAGTCTTTGTTTGTCTGAAGAGCTTCCCTGCATCTCTTTGGCCTCACTTCCCTGACAGAAGTGGTCTTTGGAGGGTCTGATACTTTAGCCGAGTGGTGTGTCCACTCCATACTGTTTTCAAATGGTGATTCCTTCATCTCCACATCCAAAGTCTTTGATCCTTTTGTTTTCACAAAAGTAGCCAATTCAGTGGAGGGGGGTTCAGCCGACCCTGACAGATGTTTCTTTCTAGGGCTTTTCCTTGTGGCCATACGTGAAAAAGATTCTTCCCTGCCAACTGTGCTTGTGTCTTTATCTATCAAATCAAAATCAGAGGAAGTGCTAAAAGAGACTCCAGGATCAGGCTTGTTTGCACAAGCTTTGTTTGTGCTACTTTCAGACTCAGGTTTCAAGAGGTTTGATTCCTCTTCTGAAAAGTAAGACTCATCACTATGTCCACAGGCTGTGTCACTGCTAAAGGTCTGTCTCTCACCTGACAGATGATGCAGAACAATCAGCGGATCCATTCGAACATTGGCTTGCTTGGACACACACATGGCACTTACAGAATTCAAAAGTTTCTCTGTGGACAGATTTGGTCTAGTCCTGAGGAAAGGACTCTGTGCTTTACAAGGACTGGCATCACGTGTCCCATCCTGAAGGACGGCTTGTGACTGGCTTGAAGGACGGTCTATCTGATTTTCTTCATTTGGTGAAAACTCGCCGTGCATTTGAATATGATCCAATACTGGTTCGAAGTTGTTACTCGTTGAAATTGTACAAAAATTCAGTCTCTGTGCAACTCTGTGGCGTTTTGGAGCAGTGTTGCATTGCACCTTTTCCAAAGAAGGCCTTTTTGGAAACAATCCATTTCTACATTTATCAGTCTCAGCCTCCTCAGTCCAGGTTGAATTTTCAGCATTTGACTCTATCAACTGTTCATGGCGATCAGGAAGTGTGATCAAGGATAGAGAGTCACTGGGCTTAAAAAGCCGAACAGGGGTCATGACAATCTCAGTAAAGCTAGCTATCTTGGATTTGAATGACTGTAGAAGTGGGCCAAACTCCCATCTTTTTATTGCTGAAGGGCTCTCTGGGGACTCCCTCTCCATTGGCTTCTGGTCACGGCTTTGCTCCTTTGCGGGGCTGCCATCTCCTAACTGTGAGCTTATACAGGGTGATACCGGTTTGTGGTTTTCACCTCTAAAAGAAAGAAACAAAAGACATTTAAAGCATGTTTGCTGGCTAAGGTTACAGATCTTAATTTTCTGTCTAACCCAGCATCACTCACTCTGAATATTGCTCCTCCATCTCAGCTTCAACTCCAGAGCTGGTCTGAAAACAAGAAAAAAAGAGAAGTGGATTAAGACAAAAAGGTTTTGCAAGAATTTTAAAATTAATAATGAAAAGTCAAATATTTAAAAGATATTAATTATAGAAAAACTCGAAGACACATTACAATTAGCTTTTGAAGCAAAAGAGAATTTGAAAAACAGAAAAAAGATGCAAGTAAAAAGGTGCATCTAAATGGAGAAACTACTCATCCTGCAAGTATTCTGAACAAAATAACATTTAAAAATGACAGTATAATATAAAACTACTAAAATCGTATAGTTACTGAGAGGTCACAACCCATGCAAAGCTTCACTGGTGTGTAGTTATTGCTGAACAATTCAGGATTATGGCTAGGGTAGTTATTCACCAGGAATTTAACTATTAGACTTTTTTTAAAATAAACTCGGAAAAAAATTAAAAAGAAAATAAGCATACACCTATGAGTTCATGGCTGATCAATATTCAAAAGGCTTATACGTTATTGCACAAAGTCTATTTCACCATGGAGAAAAAGAATGGTTGTGGGGTTTTTTTTGGTAACCTGACTTTTGCACTCAACAAAAGTCAGTAACATCTGATATTAAAGTGAATTTAATTAACTGTGAAGAAAGATTGCTCCCACATGTCTCATACCTAGGGTTCACTTTTTGCTTTTGTGTAATTCCAAATAAATTTAGTTGATATTACACAACATAAATGACTTACAATGTAATAATAAATTACTAGGAAAGTTTGGGGAATGAGAAATTTTCCTCCTACTGCATTACTGGAGTCATGTGATCACAGAACCAGTGTGTCGACTAGTGTCACAACTCACTGTCTACAATTTTCTCCCCTTTTGCATTTTTCTTTTTTCTCTGAATGTCTCACAAAGGTGTGCCACTGTTAGTTCCTTTATGTCCGTCTTCCCTCCCTGACACCTTCATATGGCTCTTATAACAGTAACACCTTAATTAAAGGGTTAGTTCACCCAAAAATGAAAATTAGCTTGTGT